GCCCGCCGTGCTGGCCCGTTGTGCCGGCCCGTAGGCACGGCCCGCGGGCCAACGGTAATGTTACCGTTTATTCTATCTCCTTAATAAGCCAAAAAAACGGCTAAAAAACGGCTAGTTTTTTGCCAATTTGCTCCCCAAAAATTCTATAAATACTCACCTCCATTTCATTCCCAAATCACAAAATCACAATCTCTTCTTCTTATCTCTTATATTCTCTAAATCTCTAATAATCCTTATTTTCTTAAATTCTCTAATTATTCTCTTAAATTCTCTAATTATTTTCCTAATATCGGAAAAAATTAAAAAGTTCGTAATCGTAATTAGTGGAGCGTTGAAGCACGGTTGTAAGATCTAAACTAATCTTAAATTTATTATTGTTTTATTGTTATTATTAGAATAATCTTGTTTAATTATTATTGTTGTTAATTGTTATTGTTGTTGTTATAATTGTTGTTATTAATTATTATTATTGTTACAATTGCTGTTATTATTTATTTTTGTTGTTATTGTTATTGTTATAGTTGTTGTTATTAATTAATATTATTGATATTTTTATTGTTAAAATTGTTGTTATTAATTATTATTATTATAGTCAACCACTTTTTATTAAAAAATTAATTGTTAATTATGGCATCGAACAACCCATCATCTAGGTCTAGGGGGAAAGGCCGACTTATCCGTAGTAGTAGTTCTAGGGAACCACCAAATACAACGAGCCCCCAAATTACGAGTCAAACCAATGACCCCATTTACTTCCCCCCGGGCTATGAGCCATATAATACGTCGGGATTTCCAGCACCACCACTAAACCAATTTCCACTACCACCATACCAATTTCCACCTAATTATATCGGTGATCAACAAAACTATTGTTCTAGCCAAGGTAGCCAAGAAAGTACCCGAATTCCCTCCGGTTCTACCCTTTCTACTGCCACTCCCACTAGTCCCACTACTAACCATCACACACATCATGAATGGTTAACCGAAACTGAGATGCTACTTTTGAAAAACCGAAGGAGTGAGGTATGGCGTTATTTTGTCCTAAGTAAAGATGGTGAACAATGGGCAAAATGTAAAACATGTAATAGTGTATTCACGGAAGTTACCAAAAACGGAACGGGACACTTATCTAGACACATGAAAGCTTGTGCAAAACCAGCTAGTGATCCAACCCAGCCCAAAATTTCCCAATTCCATCCATACGGCTTTACATACAACTATGAGAGGGATAGGGATGAACTAGGAAAAATGATAGTACACGCCGAACAACCTTTTCTTTTCTCGGAAAGTGACGCATTCAACACCTACATTAACAAAGCACTACAACCCCAACATAAAAGAATCTCTAGGAAATCCGTTCGTTCTGCCGCAATGAAAAATTTCCTAGAGTACAAAGTCCGGTTACAAGCCGAATTGAGTAACCTTAAGTGTAGAGTATCTTTAACAGCCGATTCTTGGGATAGTGGTTATAAATATCACTATTTATGTGTGACTTGCCATTGGGTAGATGATCAATGGATGTTACAAAAAAGAATAATACATTTCAAAATGCTGGAATACCCACACACCGGCATTAACATTGCTCACCATTTAATGCAAGCAATAGACGAATACAACCTTCGAGATAAAATGATGTCTATGACTTTTGATAATGCAACCTCTATGACATACACAGCTAATCTTATCAAACAAAACTTAACCGATGTACTATTAGACGGTGAAGCTCTTCATACTAGATGTGTTTGCCATGTACTTAACTTATGTGTACAGGATGGAGTTCGGGCAATTGGCCCATACTACAACAAAATCAGAGATGCTATTATGTCTATTAATAGCTCTAACATTAGATACCAAGAATGGAAGAGTTTTCTAAAACAACAAAAGATAAGGGTAATAAAAATTAGAACCGATTGCCCAACTAGGTGGAATTCCACCTATGACATGTTAACAAAGGCAATTGAGTACAAGGGCCCGTTAACATTATTTTACAACCAAAAATTTCCACAAAATGCTTTGTATGATGATGATTGGAATAACTGTGAAAGATATATGCAATTTTTACAGTTATTATATAACATGACGTATTGTTTTTCTACTGTTTACAATCCTTGTGCTCAAAACTTTCTTTCTAATGCATGCTTACTCGCCCAACTTTTCGCTGATCATCGCCATCAAAGTGATTATGATCAGTATCTTCCAGCAATGGAAAAAAAGTGGCGTAAATATTATAGTGAGACTCCTTTGATTTATATTTTTGCTTCCATATTAGATCCTAGGCAAAAGTATGAAAACACATTTATGTTAGTTGACATTTACTTTCAATGCATGTTTCTTGACGATGATGTAGAAAACTATAAGACTAATGTGAAGGATCAGTTTTTTGCTTTATATAGAGTCTATGAAGCCAAATATGGCACCGTTCCTCGCTCAGGGCCTTCCCAACCATCCAAAAACGTAAGTAAGAAGGCCAAACATTTATTTTCACAACCTACTAACTTGATTTCAAGGTTTTCAGGTGATTCATCAATCAGGAGAACGCAAAGCGACGTCTCGGAGTTGCAGATGTACCTGAGTTACGACTTCACCAAAGGCATGGACGACGATGAGATAAACAGCCTCGACCTCCTTGCATGGTGGAAACAACAAAACTCGAAGCATCCAACTTTGGCGGCAATGGCACGAGACATTCTTGCTATCCAAGTTTCCTCCGTCGCCTCCGAACAAGCTTTCAGCGCATCCGGAAGGGTTTTAGACGATATAAGAACAAGTCTAAAACCCGAAACACTAGAAATGTGCGTGTGTTTCAAAGATTGGTTGGATGCGGAAAATCGCTCACAAGACCGTTCTTACGACCACAACGACAACGAAGAAGGAACCTCCGCTTCCGGTTCGGGTTCGGCTAGTTCCCAATCTATGCAACTAGCCGATGACCTTGAAGGCGAAGGCGAAGACGAAGACGAAGACGAGCAAGAAGAAGGAGAAGAAGAATAGACAATTATTGTATATTGTACGATTTTAAAAATATCAATTTTATCATTTTCCAATTTTTGTTTTATATCATCATTGTATGATTTTTATCATTGTTATCATTGTACAATTTTCTCAACTCAAGTAATAATAATATAAAGTACGCATTATTCACATCCAAAGTCCAATTTGCCTTTTTTCCCCGTTTTGTTACAATTTGTAAATTCATATTAAAAAATAATAAAATTATACCAATTACTAATAAATCATAAACATTAAATTTTAAAGTAATAGTATAAAGTAAATATATAAATATAAATATTGAATATACAGATTATAAAACATAAATATTCAACTTATAATTATAAAATTCATAACTTAATAACTTATAACTTATAAGTTATAAACTTATAAGTTATAACCTTATAAGTTATAAACTTATAAGTTATAACCTTATAAAACTTATAATTATAATTTTATAACTTATATACATTATAAACTTATTAATTTATAATGTTGTCATATAAAAAAAAAAAAAAAAAATTATTTGAAAACTGCACCAGCCCGTTGCCAGCCCGCAGGCCGGCACGTGGCCGGCACGGCACGAGCCCGCCATTCACGAGGGTCGTGCCGTGCCATGGGCTGGCCTGTGAAAATGGTCGGCACGGCACGACACGAAATCCTGGGCCCGCCGGCACGACCGGCACGGCACGAACCAGCCCGTGGCCCGCCAGGCACGGCCTGCGGCGGCACGGTCTGGCACGGTGCCCAGGTTTAGGTTGAACAATGCTTATTTATAGCTCCATAAAAAAAGTGACACATTTTCCTGATGAGACAAAATGTCGTACTTTTATACTATACAATGGTATTACATATACATATAAAAATACGGTATAATATACACACTTTTTACTATAAAAAAAGGAGATTACCCTTATCCAAATTTTCACTCACCACTTGTTTCTTATCTCCTTCTATCTTCCTTCTTACCCGAAAAAAACCAAGCAAAACCAACATTAATTCGGCCACCATATTCCAAAATAACCAAGAAGATCAGCATGTCTTCACCTCGAAGAAGACATGAGGATGATACGGGTGTACTTCATGTACATTGTGGGGTTAGTGGTCCTCCTAAATTTAAACTACTCACACATAATTAAATCTAAACTAATCAAAACAATTAAGCAAGACATAATTAATCTAAGCAATAAAATTACTGAAAATAAAAGGGAAGAAATCGTTACCAAAATAAACGGAAATGATGAATTGTATAAATCTCAAGAGTGTAGAGAGAGAAAGTAAGAGTATTAACAAAAGCTTAAACTAAATCCGGAAATTAAGTAAAGAGTGTAAAAACGTACTTACCTTCCTAAAACAAAACGTATTTATACTTAGGCTTAAAAAGATAAAATAAATTAAATCATTAAACTCTTCAGAAACACGCGCCCAGTCGGGCAGAGCTTCGCCCGGCCGGGCCCGCCTTTTTTGAGCTTTAGTCTTCACTCGCGCCTGGTCGGGCGGGCGTCAGGGCGAAGGCTTCTTTTTCTTCTATACGTCTCGCCCGGGCGAGCTCTCGGGCAAACATGGACCTTTACTTTTGGGCTATTTCTCTTGGCCTAAATCCGAATTTCCTCTTGGGTCTTGAATACTTGGTCCATTACCTCGATCTCTTCTATGCCGGGCCCTTAATCACCGATTTGATGACTCCAACCGGTTTTGGGCTATGAAATACGATCATAATTCTCCAATGCTCGTAGTGGCTTATCATAAGTCCGGGAAAATGCTCCAAATCTGCAATTTCCTATAAAACAGTACCAAAACTACGAAAACACTAGAAAACGCATATTAGTAATAAAAGGAACTCTAAAGAGCCAATAATACTCCTAAAAATGACCAAGGGACGGGGGTAAATCACTATATAAAATGAACATATCAATAAGCAATTTGGTAAGTTCTTGGAGGTTGTTAAGAATTTGTAGGTAACAGTTCCTTTCACGAAATTAATTATACAAGTACCTACATATGCTAAATTGATGAAAGATATATTGACAAGGAAGAGAGCCTTTAATAAGGTAGAGACTGTAGCTTTTACAGAGGAATATAGAGCTTCGTTGCAAAATAAATCTCCACCAAAATTAAAGGATCCTGGTAGTTTTTCTATACCTTGTCATATTGGAAATGTCTTCATTGATAAAGCATTATGTGATTTGGGTGCTATTGTTAGTGTAATGCCATCGTTTGTGTGTTCAAGGCTTAATATGGGTGATTTAAAAGTTACTAACATTACTTTGCAAATGGCAGACCGTTATGTTAAATACCCCTTAGGTATTTTAGAGGATGTTCCTGTTAGAGTTGATAAATTTTTTATCCTTGTTGATTTTGTTGTTTTAGACATGGCTGAGGATACACAAATTCCAATAATATTAGGTAGACCTTTCCTCCACACTACAGGAGCTATTATTGATGTCAAAAATGGAAAACTCACTCTCTCTGTTGGGGATGATAATATTACATTTAATTTAGGGAGGGTGTTGAAAGGTCCTATGTTAGAGGAAAACTGTTATAGTATTGATGTGATTGATGTTATTTGCAATGATAGCTTACCATAGGTCCTTGCAAGGGATCCTTTGGAGGAAGTGCTTTGTGGTGATTTTACTGCAGGTGATGTTGGTATTTGGAGCAGTGAGGTTGATGCTATTGAGAAAGCTCTCGCACTTGAACAACTTGACCCTAAGGAGAGCAAGAAGGTAGTAAAATTAGTTCAGGAATCGAAACATGCAGAGGTTAAGAAACCTGAACTAAAACCTCTCCCTTCTCATTTGAAATATGCATTTTTAGATGAACAGGAATTACACCCCATGATCATTAGTACTGCACTTGATGACCCCTAAACTTCCTAACTTCTAGAGGTTCTTCGAACCCACAAAAGGGAAATTGGGTACAATATTGATGATCTCAAGGGTATTAGCCCTGACTTTTGTATGCACAGGATACACTTAGAGGACAATCACTAGCCATGTATTCAACCCCTGAGGAGATTGAATCCTCACATGCAAGAAGTAGTCAAGAAAGAGGTTATGAAATTATGTGATGCAGGTATTATCTGTCCAATTTCTGACTCAAAGTGGGTGAGTCCCGTACAGGTAGTTCCTAAGAAGGGTTGGGTAACTGTGATTAAGAATGATAAAAATAAATTAATTCCCACTAGAACTGTAACAGGGTGTCGTATGTGCATTAATTATCGTAGACTAAATATTGCCACTAAAAAAGATCACTTCTCTCTCCCTTTGATTGATCAAAGGTTGGAAAGGTTAGCTAATTATAAGTTATTCTGTTATCTGGATGGGTACTCGGGATTTTTCCAAATTCCAATTCACCCTGAGGATCAACAAAAAACAAAATTTACATGCCCTTATGGTACTTTTGCATATCGTAGGGTGCCCTTTGGTTTATGTAATGCCCCTGCTACTTTTCAACGTTGTATGATGAACATTTCTTCTGAATTCATAGAATCTATCATGGAAGTCTTTATGGATGATTTTAGTGTGTAGGATATTTCATTTGATGCATGTTTAGCTAATCTCACTAAAATTTTGAAAAGATGTGAATAATGCAATTTGGTCTTAAATTGGAAAAAGTGTCACTTCATGGTGACATAAGGTGTGGTCCTAGGTCATATTGTATCTGATAAGGGTATACAAGTAGATAAAGCTAAAGTTTCTCTGATTGAGCAATTACCTCCATCGGTTAATGTTAAGGGGGTTAGGAGTTTCTTAGGTCATGCGGGGTTTTATCGTCGCTTTATCAAAGATTTTTCTAAAATTGCTAAACCACTAACTCAGCTATTACTCAAGGATGCCCCATTTGATTTTACTGACGAGTGTCTTGAGGCTTTTAACAGGATTAAGCAAGCTTTGATTTCGGCACCTATCATATGTGCTCCCGATTGGGATCTCCCTTTCGAGATTATGTGTGATGCCAGTGATTTTGCAGTAGGAGTCGTGCTAGGACAACGAAAGGACAAAGTTTTGCATGCTGTTTATTATGCAAGTAAAACTTTGGATGAAGCCCAAGTCAACTATGCCACTACAGAGAAAGAGTTTCTTGCTGTGATTTATGCTTTAGAAAAATTTAGATCATATCTAGTAGGTTCTAAAATTATTGTTTTTACTGACATGCAGCTTTGAAATACCTTATATCCAAGGCGGAAACAAAGCCTAGGCTCCTCTGTTGGGTTCTCTTGCTCCAAGATTTTGATGTGGAAATTAAAGATAAAAAGGGAGCAGAGAATGTTGTTGCAGATCACTTGTCGAGGATCAGGTATGATGAGGGTAAGGATTCTCTTCCTATAGATGATTCTTTCCCTGATGATCACTTGTTTGCAGTTGTAGAGCAACATCCTTGGTATGCCGACTATGTTAATTATTTGGGGGCGGTACTCTACCTCCTGATTTGTCCTACCAACAGAAAAAGAGGTTCCTTTATGATGTTAAACATTATTTTTGGGATGATCCTTTTTTGTTTCGTGAGTGTGCAGATGGACTTTTTCGCAGGTGCGTTCCCGAATGGGAAGTTCACGGTGTTCTTACTAGATGCCACAACTCACCCTATGGTGGACATCATGGACCCACTAAGACAGTAGCAAAAATAAATGAGTCAGGTTTCTTTTGGCCAACCATGTTCAAGGATGCCCACTCATTTGTCTAAGCTTGTGATTCTTGCCAGAGGACTGGCAACATCTCGCGTCGGCATGAGATGCCTCAAACTGGTATTCTGGAAGTTGAAATTTTTGATGTTTGGGGTGTTAATTATATGGGACCCTTTCCCTTTTCAAAAGAGAATCGTTACATCCTAGTCGCTGTTGATTATGTATCTAAGTGGGTAGAAGCCATTGCCGCACCTACCAATGATGCTAAGGTGGTCCATAAACTTTTCAAGAAAACAATTTTTGCTACATTTGGTATCCTTCGAGCCGTTATTAGTGATAGAGGATCTCATTTTCATGAGCGAAAGTTAGATATCCTTCTAAAGATGTATGGTGTTTACCATAGGACGGGTTCAGCTTACCATCCCCAAACTAGTGGCCAAGTTGAGGTTTCTAACCGTGAGATTAAGGCTATTCTAGAGAAGGTGGTAGCAAAGTCTAGGAAGGATTGGAGTGATAAGTTGGATGACACACTATGGGCATATAGAACCGCATTTAAGACCCCCATTGGTACTTCCCCCTATAGACTTGTGTATGGGAAAGCATGTCACCTGTAATACCCTAGAAATTCTTTTTCTTTAAAATACCTATTTTGGCCTTTTAAAAATACGAATAGGAAAATCTAAGACATTACCGCCACCGTGAAAACAGCTAAGGCAAATATCAATGACTCACACACAGCGGAAGACTATCTTTAAAAAAAAATAAAAAATAAATAAAAAATAAAAATAAAAATAAAAAACCATTTAAAAAAAGTCAACTTAAAAAGTCAAACCAAACGAAAGTAAAGTCAAACAAAGTCAACCTACAACTTGGAACCATTGTAGACCCTTAAAACCAAACGATATTAAAACCCTTTGCGTTAGTCTCATGAGCAAAATAAAATAAATAATATTCAAAGCAAATAAAACACATCATATTCCTATGAGAACTAAGCATGATTCGCTCTTCACTCATGCCCTTCATGAAAATGCTTCATCACCTGAAAAGCTTCTCCCTACTTGTCCCCACTACTCGCCATTAGAAATGGGTCGACGTAGGGTCAAGGTAAAGACAAGGCCAAACAAATATACAAACACACAATCAACAATGCTGAGTACATAAGCATAATAAAAACCCACTAACATGCTTTCATCCTATCATCACACAACTTACCGTGTTGCACCTGTTTACAAGCATACAAAACATTCAACACCTAACTAGACAAGTACCAATGTTCATTTAATTTTGATTATACATCGAACGGGTTTCCAACCAAATCCCTGCCTCAAATAAATTGAGGTAAACTACACCGGGAGCTAACCGGGTAGGAAAATGTCACATGAAGTGACTGGACGTCCTGCGCATAAGATAAATAAAAAGGAAAATACAGCGTCCTGTACTCCCAGTAGAAGTCATGGTTAAATATAAAACCCCATAACTCCTCCCATATGTTCATACTCAAGGTATATACGTTCCAAGAGTTTTGGTGTGTAATCTCTTTCACTTTACGTTGTTTACATATTATTATACTTGGTGATGACTCTCAAACCATAGCACAATCTAACATTATAAATCATTCAAGCAATCAAACATACCAATTTAATTCTTGAATAATTAGTGACCACATAAATTTAATTGTTGAACCCTTTTTAATTTACCTCGGTGTCAAAGACACCTTAAACGCATAATGCGCCGCAAATCCTATCCCTCAGTGTTAGAAACACCTTAAGTGCATATAAGCACCGCAATATAATTTATTCCTGTGTACTAAGACACTTGGTAGCTCAATTCCCATGCTTAAAACATCAATAAAAATTATATGAAACATAATAAAATTTCCTTTTCATATTCCAAACCAGATTAAACACTTAGTTTAATTAAACATGCTCTCTAACAAGCCAATAATAAAAGTGTGGTTCATAATCAACATACCAACATAAATAATTCCAGTCACCAGTTCATCACAAATAACTCATACATCACAAATCATTCACCAACATCGATCCAATCAACAAATTCCAACCATCACCTATCATGATACTACTTGGAACTAATTAAACAAAGCCTAGCATGTTTCTACATATTCAAGAAATTACCAAGTACGCAAACGTACCTTGAATATGATCTCAAAATCGTCACAACTAAATAAAATCACTCACTTGAAAGTCTCCTACAAACCAAAATTACAAAGAAGTATTTATACCTCTTCCACACAAATTTATAGCAATATGTACACTCTTTAAATCACTCATAAAACCCTCTAAAACAAGCTGAAATTTTATTTAAAACTCTTACTTTTATCCCCAATTAATGGGTAATTAAAAATCCTTTCAAGAAACATAATTATAGTTTATATATAAAAATTCCAACATTATTAAAACTTATAAACTTGCTTTTTTTAGCTTAAAAACACTTATTTCAATAGTTTTAATCAACCATAATCAAATTCCATCAATATACATTAATTTAGAAACTTAGGGTTTTCAATTTGGGGCTTTTTAATTTAAAACCAAATCTGAAAATTTATATACAAAATACTTATCATCAAACATCATTAAATCATCACAAAACCCAAAAACAATAATTAGATTAAGGCTAGATTAAATTAAAACAAAAAGAATATTTAATTTTTTTTTCTTAAAACATGGCGCACGAACCACCATGGCTGGACGGCTGCCGCGCGCCCGCCTGGTGGCCGCCGCTGCTGGTGTGCGCGCCGATGGTGGTGGCCGCCAGCCGGTGGTGGCGTGTGGTGGTGGCGCCGGCTGTATGTGGTGTGTGGTGGTGATTGAAAATAAAATAAAATAAAATAAATAGAGGGGAAGGGGAAAAGAAAATAAGAGGAGAGAGTGTGTTTACCTTTGGGTGCACTCCACCTTAGGCATATGATGGGTATTTATATCCCCTCTCAAAATCCTTCCTACTTACAATTCCTTTACTACCATAAAATATTTTCGAGATTATTAAATAATTAAAAATAAACTTTTTAATTAAAAATAAACTTAACCAATTAGATGAGTTTAGGTTGATGGCCTATGATAGTGCACATGTCTACAAGGAGAAATCAAGAAATGGCATGATAAGATGATCCTTCCGAGATAATTCAAAGAGGGCGATAAGGTTTTGTTGTTTAATTCGACTATTGTCATTAGTAGCACATCATTATCTCTCTGATGCAAGACATAATAGGAACCAAGTTGGTAA